AGAAAAAAACTAGTCTAAAGTCAGTGGCGCGTTGCGCGTTGTTCATAATGCTATTTTAAGCGCGCATGCTTGGCCATAATGTAGCGGGTGCATAACGCGCATACACTTTGATTCTCTCATCAACACAGATGCAGCAGTTTTTATTTTTGCAAATCATACATTATAACAAGGAAAAATATTAACACATGAGGGAAATCATTGTGGTGTCCATTAAGATGTAAAAAAAATTGTTTTTTTTCTCCCACGCCCATTTAACCGACGCTGATTTGGGTGGGTTTCTCCCATCCCCATACAACGTCACTTCTCTGTCTTTCACGGTCCTGACAAGAACGTCGGTCTCCTCGGCTGTGAACCGCTCCTGGCGCGCGCCTGGTAAATCCGCCGTTATAATAGCAATCCGCCATGCAACATGCGCACCTGCTCTTAAAGGGAATGTGAGATGACGCTCTGATTGGTTTATTTCACGTTACGCCCAAACCACACCTATGAATAATGAAGCTACTTCAGACCAACCCCTTTTAGATTTGCGCCAGGCGCAAGAGCCATTTATCCCACCGGGAAAGTAGCAACAGCGCCGGGATCCGCCCACAAAGTTACTTGCGCTTTGACACTTGCGTTTCAGATCGTTAAAATAGGACCCTGAATGTTAAATTAGGATAAATAAAAAAAATTGTGATTAGGATACATTTTCCAGCACAGAAAATGATATGTATGTTCACTGTTGGAACATTATTAATAAAGAAATGAAATACATTTAAAGTTCCCTCCAAATACTATAGGTATTTTGAGAAATACTTTGTACCATGTGACATACTGAAACTGTACGTTCACACCGCCGCCGACTTGAGCTTCCAAAGCGCCCGGAAGTCATTCATTTTCAATGGAAGCTGGCTTCTCTCAGCTGCAAGGACGTCAAATCCATAGGCGTCGCGTTTTGAGTGTCTTGAGCGTCAATCAGAACGTTGAAAGAAGCTCAACTTTATGGTAATGAGCTATGACGCGGTTCAGCGGCAAAACGCCAGCAACCAATCGGAATATAGACGTCCTTCGCGCTAGCTGATTCCGGAGAAAGATACGATGTAAACTTTCGTTCCTACCAAAACATTAGTTCTGAGAAAATGGAGGAGAAGCTAATAATCGCCGTTGCTGGGTTTCCTATCATTTATGACATGACGTTGTTTGCTTATAGGGACTGCATGAGCACTCGTTTTAAGCGGGAGTGCAATTCATTTGCTCACGGTGACACCGATTTGACCAACTGCACTAATGCAAATAATAGCCTAATGCAAATAATAATAATAATAGCTAATTATTCTTTTTTTTCCGACCAAACGTGACCAAAACGCTTATAAAAATGCTGTCATTATAAAAGGTTTCTTCAATGTATTGCTTGTTTTTTTTTTGTTTATTACATTTCATGTTGTGACACTTCTCTTCTCCCTCCTACGTCAGAGCGTCCAAAGCGTCAACAAGCTTCCCCGTACTTTTTCGACAAGCGTCCTTGACAGGGCGGCCAGAGCTTCTTTGCCGCTCAAGTCGGCGGCAGTGTGAAAGCATTCTGGCCTTTCAGGCTTCCAAAAGTCAAGTCAAAGTCACACACACAGAGGAAATAATGGTGTACCAATATATAGCTAAATTACTTATTTTATAAATAATAAAATCTTCAACACAGTCAATAATTGTATCCCTTAAAACTCATCAACCATGAATAAGCAAATGAGTCTATTCATAACTCCACTCAATCACAGCAGCTCGGACTACCTGATCCACTTGGTCAACTGTAGTAAATGCTACACAATGGCAAGTGTGTAAACAAGTGGAAATTTAATTCAGCCAGAAACTGACTCAGAAGAAGAAGAGGAAGAGTGAATTATACAGGGTTGTCTACAAGTTGGTGCATCAGTATGGTAATGAGTTTCATGTAATGCTCTCGACAACTTCAGACACATAACGATAATTATATGATTAGCCTTTGGCTTGACTACGTTATCAAACAGCTAATAATGTGTTACTAATGTTACACAAGCCATGTTCCCGTTCACCATCTCAGAGTCAAACAGCTGCCTTCTAAAAATCAGCATCCTTAGAAACGCTTTGAACAGAATAGAAAGGCATTTAGTTCATCATAACATCTTAATATACATCATATACTCAATTCACCCGCTATATTGCTATATTGATTTTTTCATGTCATTTCTTAAAGGTGTTCTTGTGTGGAAAATCCTCGCACGTTGAGGGGATTGGTTACATGTTTGTGATGGTAGGAAACAAGAGGCGGTTTCAAACACATTGTGAGACTGTCTTTGTTTGGTTCACTGCAGTTTCAAGAGAAAATACTCAGCAATGGTGTCGACTGAAGAATTCGCACATGGTTTGTCTTAAAGGATAATAAAAGCAACACACAGACATACAACATTAAAAACTTAATTTTCACCACAGGGACTCTTTAAGGGCTCATAGTTGAAGAAATTTCAACTATAGGTCCTTTTTTAACCCCATGTTTTTATGAGATTCACACATCTGGAAGTCCTACACATTTTGCAACGATAAACGGCTTTTAGTGGCTGTTTTCACACTTGGTTTTGCAGAACAACTCTCTTAGTTTCTAGGACAACGCTCCCAGCTGTTCACCTCGATGAAGCACTTGGTCCTCACCAAAAGCTCAAGTGTGAAAACACCATTATTTTGATGACAAAAAATTATTTTGCAAATCATTTTGTGGTCACCTAACCGCAGTTAAGAACAGCTTAATACAGTATAAAAACAGAGTTTAGATTGAAACATTAAGTACCAACAATGAAAATGGCAAAAAAAAAAAAAAGAACGAGCAAAAACTGCACAGAATGAGAAGTATGAGTTTGTAATCCCTCATTGTAATAACAGTAAGACGTTAGATGCCCGCAGGCCGGGCACGTGGTGGGGAAGCCATTACGGAGTGTAATTAAAGCTTGAAATCTCTTTTTAGCCACCCTGCAGTCTTCCCGTCTGCCTCTCACTCCTCCTCTCATTTCCTTCCTTTCACTTCCATCTGGCCTGTGCTGACCATCTCAAAACCCATCACTCCTCCTGGTCGATGAATGAAAAGCGTGGATTTGTATTAGGAATGGTTGTGAAACGATGCCTTCACATTCGGCTTCTCTTCTAGGCAAAAAAGCAAGTGACACATTAAATGTGTTAAAGGTAATTAATTAATTTCGAATAATATGTGATCCGTTTATTTTAGGAAGAGGGTTATTTAATTAAACTGAGCACAGGAGATTAATTTGTATGTGGATATTATTTATCAACTGGCTATTAATCAAAAAGTGGTCTGTGATCACATTTTCATGTTTATGTATAAATCATTTAGACTAATTATTTCTTTTTTCCTTAATACATGTTCTTTCTTCCCTCATGATTCAGTCTCATTTGGCCGCCTTGCGCTGAATTGCTTTGCATGAGTTGAATGGCAAATCTTGTTTTGCAGATGCTAAGGCTGAACGGGAAAACTACAGGCTCAACACCTAATTATCCAGACAGAAAATAAGATTTACAGCTACTGAAAGGCAATCTGGATCTACGTCTGATGTAAACACAAACGAGGGAATGCCATGCCCACCACCACCCACCCCCCTCCTGCAATGCTAATAATACTCCTTTTAATGGGGTCCTATTATGCTTTTTCACTTTTTAAACTTTAGTTAATCTGCAATGTTGCTGTCTGAGCATACAAAAGATCTGCGAGGTTAGTCAAAGTTAGCTCAAAGTCCACTCCAAAGGGGATATTTTACTTAACAGAATCCACTTTCCAAGAACTACAACGAACAGCTCGTACTAAAACGCGATTTTCCCGGGCTTTATGAAGTCATAATGTTCCTCATTTAAATAATCCCCACCCATGGAATACGCAGAAAAGCGGACAAGGCCTGGATGAGCTGCTGCTATGTCAAAAAGACGCTGTTTTTTTCCACAACTCATTTGTTTGACCTTCCTCAGGATGACGGACTTAGAATGGTTAACATTTATTTTAAACACTGTTCCTGATCATTATAATCCCGATTCTTATCTGTGCACTGCACATTTTATGAAGAACAGCTTCCGGAAGCACAATGCAGGCTACACACAAAAGCTTCCTCTGAAATTGAGCAGTTTCCACTTTGGTACAATCTGTTGTTTGTGGATGACAACTTGTAAGTATGTCTTAATATTTGTAGTTACGTTTTAAAAGTTCTAATTATAAGTTTTATGTTGTTGCTACGCTCGCCTACTAGCCAACATTAGTGTTGATATAGTGTTGTTTACTATAGCTTTTGGAAACTCTCGCTTTTGTAAGACTGTTCACCGCCCCTTAGGAAATTAACCATGTTTTTGTGATCGATTACTGTTTGTATAACCATAGTTTTCTGACAAATATTATGATTAAATGGTGGATAACATCATACCTATAATGTATGAGAAAAACATACCACTCTGAAACGTCCTGTGAAATCTGGGCTTGCAAAGTCTGTGCACCAAATCCTTTCTGCATTATCCTCTTGTTTGTTAATATTGTCAGGGTCTGAATCGGGCTCGAATGGTTTAAAATTTTCGCCATCCTTTATATTTACACTAGAGCAGAACTCACAGTTATGGAGGGGCGGGACATTTCCCGAACACATGCTAAACGCTGCTAATCACAACACACTGGGACAGCTAACCAATCACAGCACATTTCGTATCTCGGAAGGAGGGGCTTCACCGAAAACAACGTGTTCGGGACAGAGAGAGGGGAGCTGTAATAATGTAAAATATGTAAAAAATAATGTAATAATGTAAATGTATAATCTTTGAGATGTTCATTGATTGTTGTCAGACTGTAATCGACAAACAAACATTAAGCAGAAGACACTACTACCATTTAAAAGGCACTACTAAAGCCAATACCTTCAGCGTAGCTGATTGTTCACGTAATCTTTTTCACCAACAGATGTCAATTTAAGACATTGTACACTTCTTGTTGTGCAGGAAGTGGAATCACTTACCAGTTTGCGTTGGCACCATCCACAGATCCCGCATAGTGCCACCAGCCACACAACACACACCGTTAATCCCAACGATACTAGGAACACACACAGAGACAAAGAACCTGTGGAGAGACAATTCCTTAAAATTAGTGCTGTCAAAGGTAATGCGTTAACACTGACTGATCACTTAAGTTGCTGTTAAGTTTTTGCTAACACATTTATTCAATTTGAGTTGTGTCAATAGCTTGCTAATAAGTTAACATCAGACTCTATTGGAATAAATTGAAAGTCGAGTCTCCAGTGAAGGATGCTATTGTGTGGCATCCAGAGTTGCTGCCTAATGCCTACGCGTTGTGTTACACAGCAAGGCAGCCAATTAGAACCAGAGCTTATAAGAGCAAGGGAAATGTGTTCAGTTTTTTAAGAAATGTCACAAGTCTGTCGATGCTTAAGGGGTCATTTAGCATTTCAAAGGAGGCACATATTTAACAGTTTATGCACACATTTCTAACTAAATGTTACACTGCTAAAATGAGTGGTTATGTCATTTGTAAAACAAAGTGACTCACAGCTTTGTTAGGCATTCATATCGAACAAACTAACTCTCAAATAAATAAATTTAAAAACATTTAGGCTATACCCTTAAAGGTTCAGTTCACCCAAAAATGAAAATTCTGTCATTAATTTACTCACCCTAGTGTCGTTCCAAATCTGTAAGACTTTTGTTCATCTTCAAAACACAAATGAAGATATTTTTACTCCATTAACAGTGCATGCAACTACCACTTTGACGATTCAAAAAGTTCACAAAGAGATTGTAAAACTAACTATTCCATATGAATTGAGCAGTTTAGTCCAAATTTTCTGAAGAGACTATCACTTTATATGATGAACAGATTGCATTTATGCTTTTATTCACGTGTAAACATTGATCAGCAAACATAAACAGAAGCTTAACTGTGGGCGTTTGACGTGCAAGAACAAACCTCATTGTGGAAGCTCAAACGTGCTGCATAACACTCAATTCATATGGATTAGTTTTACAATCGCTTCATGAATTTTTTGAAGCGTCAAAGTGGTGCATAGCTGCCAATGGAGAGTACAGAAAGCTCTCAAATTTCATTAAAAATATCGTCATTCCAAAAATGAACGAAAGTCTTACGGGTTTGGAAAGACATGAGGGTGAGAAAATTAATGACAGAATTTTCATTTTTAGGTGTAATAACCCTTGATAAAATAATAAAAGATAAGAAAAGAATATAAAAATTAAAGAAAATAATAAAAGTACTGTTTGTAAGTTTACAAGTGATGAAGGTCTTGAGCACAAAATGCTGAAGAAATTAAATTAAATTAAAAAATTGCATATGAGTGATAAAAGTCACAAGTAAAAAAAAAAAAAAAACATATTTATAATAAAACAAGAATTCCTGAAGGAACATAAAAAAATAATAAAATAAATGAAAATAGCACATAAGTGATCAAGGTCTCAAGTAAAAATCCTAAAGAAATATTCTTAAAAAATCATCTAAAATATAAAAAAAATATTTTTCAAATATCAATAGAAGTAAAAGTACAAATTCTAAAGAAAATAATATAACAAATAACTAATATAACAAGAGATGAAGGTCTCAAGTAAAATATCCTGAAGAAAAAAATAAATAAATTAGGCTATATTATAATAATATACTAATAAAGGTCAAGTAAACAGAACTAATGGATGTATATTAGGCAAAGGGGCACCTCTAATTCATTATTTGATTGAACTGACCTGTACTGCCTCATTGGAAATTTTTATTAGGTAAAGAAACTTTTTTTGACAAACAGAGATTGATTTAATTTTATGGTGCAGCAGTAAAGTGAGAGTGGGTGGTGAAGTAAAACACAACCAGCTGCTCAGAAATAGATCCATTTTCACCGAGAGGGGCAGAACAGAGAGCAGGCGTGTAATCAAGTTAAACTGAGTAAAACATGTGAAATACAACGGTCTGGTCGAATACAACTGCACTGACCCTGTCATGACATTAGAGTCCATAAGGGTTTAGTCGAGGTCTGAGTCATCGTGTCCATGAGACATTTGGAGGTGAGGAGATTTAGGTGGGAAGTGAGGAGATCTGGTGTTGAAGATCAGCAATCTTCGGTAAGAAAGAGATTGGCACGTTCTTATTTTTCTTTTGAAATTGGTGTTTAGAAGCACAGTGGACAGGTTTGAGGTTTGGAAGGGTAATACTTTAGATAAAAAAAAGTGTGAGTAAAGTTGACAGTAATCCGGTAACTGAGAAGGCGAAGAAAAGAGGGAATAATATATATTGTGGAAGAAAAAAAAAGAGAACCGTAGAGGTTCTGTCAGAAAGGGGGCGGAAGGGAGCAGGATAAATGATTTTATAATGCCCCTAAGAAATATATAAAATGAGGGAAATTACAGTGAGAGGTGGAAAGGGGTGATAAATGTGTGTGAGAGAGAAAGTCCTGAGGTTCTGGGAATTTTTCTATCCTTTTATTTAATGTTATCAGCTTATACTGTAAGTCTTGCGTAGCCAGAGATTTGATTCATTGCATAAAGTCTGATTTACAGATGCCCACTGAGACAGAAAGAGACCGTCTGACTTTGCAAAAAAATCACTTTCTCAATTAGCATTTATGTCTTATTTTTCCAGTAAAAACATCTAAACACCATTCAAACAAGTCACATTGACTGGAGAAGTAAAACTGTGCAGAATAATAAGAGTGTTACCGACTTAAATTATTTATTTTCTTTTTTAAGCATAAGATCTTTTAAGCTATATTAAGCAAGTGGTTGTATCTTGTTTAGAATTTTTATGTAAACAACAAAAATACGAATTCTGATTCAGGAATGGGTTTTATTAAAGATGCATCGATAAATTGTTAATTGTTTTCCAATAATAGTCTGGCAGTTTCTGAAAGGTTACCTTCGACGACAGTAGATATGTATGAGACATAGTGATCAGAATTTTTTTTCTTTAGGCATGTGCATTCACCTGTGGAATTCTTCACTTTTATTGGTCTGTTGGCAACACTCATTGTACCGTGAAAGACGAGAAGCCCTTTCTGGTCTAAAGTGTCTCTGAGGGCTGAAATCTGAAAATCGCTCCCTGTTGACTGCCCCATTAGCAACTTTGTCTATGATTTCTGTCTTTTTAGAAACAATATGGAGGAGATGAGGGCATAGTTTTTTTTTTTTCAGGATTCTTTGATTAATAAAATTTTCAAAAGACCGGCACTTATTTGAAATGGAAATCTTTTGTAACATTATAAATGTCTTTACTCTCACTCTTGATCAATGTAATGTGTCCTTGCAGAATAAAAGTATGAATTTTACTGACCTCAAAATTTTTAATGGTATATAGTATATAAGAATTTCACTGAATTTGAATTCATCTTAATTCTAGTAAGTAAGTATGATTAATTTATATAGCGCTTTTTCCGCTTTACAATTAACATAACATGAATAAACAAACAGGACAAATACAATAAACACTACATTATAGATAGACATCATTTAGCACAGACAATCATGGAATCTGAGTCAAATGTTTAGTTATATATATAAATATATGTCCGGCCATACAGTCCAGATAGATTGAGCAATAGAGTAAAATGGTGTAACACCAGAGTAGTCCCTCATGGAGTGGGTACACCAAGCAACGCGGTGAACCGCATCTCGAATGCCTCAGAGACCAAACAAGTGCAAACTCCACGACTTCAAAACGGAAAACGGGAACAGCTACCATGCCAAAAAATCCTCCAGTGAAAGACGCAGCCACTCTAACTAACAAAACTAACAAAACAAAGAGCCAGTGTGAAGCGGCAGCCAAGTGCGCACAAAATCCAATTACAATACTACCTCAAATCAAATAAAAAAACTAAATTTGAATTTAAAAGGCATTCTCAATTCATTTCTGTATGGGGCACAACCCTGGTCTTTGATCCGTGATTTGGGAACAGGGTCGAGCAGTATAAAGACAATTAGTGCCTTAGTGGAAATCTCTGCTCACCTGTAAATAATGTTGAGAAAATCCTCCTGATAAAGTCTGAGACACTGGCCCAAATAATAATATCCCTGCGGCCTGGCGCATTTTGGGTCATGGCATCGTATGACAAATGGGGCCGTGCCGTCTCATCGGACATTTCTCAATGTCGGGAAGAACTCTGACAGGGTTGTGCCAAATAAATGACAAGATTATTTGCGGGTCAGATCCAAAGCAAAGCCGTGAGAGTAGATCCTTCACTTATGTGTGATGTGACTTCCGAACAGGCCTAATGGTACTGAGTGATAGACAGGGATGAATTTCAGTCAAACAAGAACAGATGGGTAGTTGATGATGTACAGTGAAATGGTTCTAGGTAAAAAAAAAAAACTGTTCCGTTCTCCACCCACGGTTCAGCAAGCACTTGCACCGCGGTTCATCTCAAATCTGATGACGCATACGCATCTATAATATGGTTTGTTGAAAATAAATAAAACAGACAGACAGAGTTAGGCTAATGTATGTTTCTGTCGATGGATATGCATTCTGGCTTCTCCTAAACTTTGTTCAGTGCATGTGTCGTATGCTCTATATGACCAGTCATTTACGCGTCATCAACCATGTGTTGATACCGCACAAGATACACATTGCTATCCGTGTTTAAACTAAACTCATTTAAGCCTTGCCAATTTAAACATTTAAGCGCAAGAAGATGAGAAACAGAACTCGCACACGCTGTGAGTTCACGAGTTCACACTTACATACAGTTAGAGGGAGTAAAGTTGAAAGTGTATTTGCCGCGCTGTCCGGGGGGAGGGATCCGAGCTCCGAGCTCGGAGTTCGGCCCGAACCCAGTGTACTCCCCCCTCGTATGTAAATGGTTAGGACTAGAAGTGTGGAGAAGGGGTGGTGGGGGGATGCTGCTAAACTGTCAACGAATTGAGGTGAGACTGCTGAATATATAAACACCTCCTTTCGTTGATTGCTGAGTGCTCTCCACTCGTGTTACTTATCTGAACGTGCTCCTCCCGAACTTTGTTAATAAAACATCATAAGATTTGTACACTCATCCGAAGCGCACGCACACAGAAAATACTGAGTTCTCTTTTAAGTCTTGCGCTTCAACGAACAAATAC